ACCCCTGGGAGCTAAGAACCCAGCTGAGGACTGCACCTTGGCTGTCGCTGCCTGAGCAGGGTAAGTGCTCTGCGCAGCTGCAGTCTGCTCTGTGTTTTCCAGAGGCCCACGTGCCTGCCGGTTCAGCCCTGTGTGTGCCAGGGGCCCCTGTGACTGTTTTCGCTGTTTGGATTCCTGGGGGGCTCTTGTGTTGTTGTGTTCCGTTTCCGTTGTTCTGTTTAACAGTTACATATTTCATTATCCAGGCTCTGACTCTAAGTATTCATTTTAAAAATAAGAGAAGTCTAGGCTTTAATCCTAATAGATTCACTTCAACCTTGAAAGAAATGTGTGGGAGTTAGGGTCCTTCTAGTGTCGCTGTTTAAAGGTAATTGGACACTTGGATGCATTGTACCTTGAAAAGTGAAGGCAGAGAAAAGGTGGAGAGAACCCCAGGTGTCTGCAGTAAAAGTCTGTGGGAGCATCTCCAGGGAAAACACAAAGTGTCTGCTGATGTCTAAGACTTAAAGCAGTCATTCACCACATGGTTTTCAATTAGAATGATTAAATATGACTGGATGTGGATCCGTGCAATTATTCTCACACCCCTGAATTCTGCAGTAAAAATTGCTGCATTTTTATGAAGCACTTTTCAATACTGCCATAAATTCACTCCAATTAAAACTGAGTCTTGGCACATTAATACAGTATTCATTTCTTTATGTAGAACTGAATATGCTTAAGCTTAGACCCCGAAGTTAGAAAGAAAAAAAAGGGGGGGGGGGAGAGACATTTTGGACTGTGGCATAAAATGGAAATGCACAACTTCTAAAGATGTGTGTTCCACCACTGAGCCTGGAGTCCTTTACCACAACCATTTGGATGTTAGAGTTTTCTTTCCTGCTACCCTTGAAAAGAAGAAAGGATGTCTCTTTGCAATAACCAGCACTAAATGGTCATTTGAAAAGCCAGATTTGAACAATCCTACTGTGTATAAGAAGCTGCAGAAGTTGGGGGGTGGGGGGGATGCACAGAAATACAGTGCTGTGCAAAAGTGTGGAGTCACCACTACTTTCTTTATATTTTGCCAGGAAAATGAGAAATAGGAAGCATGTGTAAATACATACAGAAATACTGCATATAATGCAAATAAGGGCCTTGTATAATCCTACCAAGCTTCAAAGTCAATATTTAGTACCACCACCTTTATTCTGCAACACAGCCTGAACTCTTTCGGGCAAGCTTTCATCTAGCAGTTCTCCGGGCTTCTTGAAGGCCATTCAAAGCTTTGGATGTTGACTGCCTTTTGTTCTGTTGTCTGTCAAAATGCTCTGACACCGCTTCAATAACATTTAGGTCAGATGGTATTAGATGGTGAATCAAAATCGAATGGTACTTTTCAGCATTCACAATACCGTCAAATCTGACAAGATCCCCAACACCGCTGGCTGAAATTCCACCATCAAACCATGTCATAGCCTCCATTGTGTTGTGGAACACTTAGACGCACTTACATGTTTGCCTCAGCCAATGAAATTCATCACAACGAGATGGAGGACGGTGTGAGCGAACAGGAAGTCGGCGAAGGCTCTCTCTGGGGAGATGGACGGAAAATCTCGTTTGTTCTGTGGGTTTATCTGGATGAAAAACTGAAAAACAAACAAGGGATTAAGTATCAGTACCTCTTTCACTTGCCAACTACTGCAACAACTGCAGTGGGGCTACAGCAGAGTTGTTGTTTTTTTCATGATAACTTAAATAGTTTTAAATATTAGGGTTAGTGGTTTAGAAGTTAAACACCAAAAGTCAGACAGCCTAATTTTTTCACAATTTTCAGGTCGTTACCTGTTTTTGCATTTAGGAGGAAATAGGAAGCACAGATACTATGCAGTATAAATGAAATAATTAACTGATTAGCTGATTGGTCAATGCAGACTGATAATTTCCATTTTTTGTCATCCTCAAAACACCACACCTCCATCACATTTATAAACCAAATAAATTCTCATACTTGTTAATGTCCAACATGATGAGTTGTAAAGCCCACCAATTTACCAATGGGCTTAAATTACTGACTTCTAGTAGCTATTAGAAGAGCCACTGGCATTGGAATTTATAACTGACGAGATATAAGAATCTGATAAAAAGTACTGATAGGAGAAACGCCCTTTGACCATATTATGATTGCTGATGTTACATAGTGTGTACACCAGAGGGCACTCTGCAACTTCCTGTTGGCATCGCGTGTTTGTAATGCCACAAACAGCAACAAGCTGACAGAAAAAGAAATTAGAGTTCACTAACAGCATCTTCTAGTGGTAAAAGTGCCACAGCAGCTATACACAGTTCAACAAATCACGTGGCAGTCTGAAGCGTGCATGCTTGAGGTTGTCTGTGTGTATAGTCGTGTCCAAATTCATGGGCTGCATCCTCCTGAGGACCCGGCCTTCGTGGTCTACGTGGATCGGGTCCTCAGAAGGTCGGGTAGGCCGGAAGTAAACGGCTGTGGAATTGGACGGTCTAGCCTTCTGATTAGCATCACCGCCGTCTCGGTGGAGTTTAATAAACTCGGCCGTCTGCTCCTTGCTATGTAAAATATAACAGGACACTGGCGTAAATTCTCGACCATCTCACACTTCTGTTTAATCAATTTTCTGTTTGCCGTTTATTCAGCTGTGTGAAAAATAATTAATTAATAATTTTATCTAATCTAATCTAATAACTTTAATCTCAGCCAAACCGATTTACTCACAAACAAATAAAACACTGAAAAAGCCAAACAATAACATTTAGGTTGTCTAAGTGACTTACATATTACGTTTAACCTGAGTAGCGAAACTCCGCGGTGATCTGAGATTTATGTGCCGGGAGTTGTGCCGTTCTCTGCGGCTCTAGTGACCCTCGAGCTCTCGGCTAGCTATCGAGCTGGTGGGTAGCAGACGTCTCTGAAAATGTTGGAGCGCTTTTGCAAATATGCGATATCTTGATAAACCGAGCAGATATTTGAAGTTTACACACCCACATTCTCGCCTGAAAATATGTTAAAAGTTTATTTTGTGACCCAGAAAGATTGATAAGAGTAATATTAAAAACTTAGTAGCGGCCGCCATTGTTGAAAACTGGAGTTTGGCTGGGCCACGCTATGAATTCTGGGATATGGTAAGCCACAAAGGACACACCCGACCCATCCTTCAAATTCGGGGAAAAGGAGGACAGCCTTCGGCGCGTCGCTGTGACATAATCGGCCTACATAATGCGTCCTCAGGAGGATGCAGCCCATGAATTTGGACACAACCCGTATATGCATGTGTGTGGGTCTGTTTGTTAGACACTTCCTGACATCATATATGGCGTGACATCTCAAGTCACTCCATTTAGGCATGACCTTTAAACACAAAAGCAGAAGTAAGCAATCCTGCTTAACTTAGAAAAACAAGAACTCGTGGTTTCTTGTGTGCAATGAAATATTATAGCGATGAGACTGCTTCCTACATCTTATGTTAGCACTTCTAAACCCAAAAATAAAGCTGCTAATCGTCACGCTCTTTCTGAACAATCACAACCATATTAGGACATATAAAAGCAGTGGTTATATATATATCTTAGCACAATCTCAAAAGCATCAACTCTAACATCCGTATTTTTAAATTTTTTATTTATTGTCCATTACAAACGCCAATAACAACACCTTTATAAATAAATTAATAAATCGATACTAGCGGCCACTTAAGGCTGGCTCCAAAAGCAAGTCAATGCCCGTCTTAAAACCCTAATTTTACTCTATTTTTAAAAAATGCTGGCTGTCAGCCAGGGATACGCCTCAGCCTCTTACTAGATACACCAATGGAATGAATTTCAAAATCCTACATCAACTGGTTCTCAAGTTATTCACAAGATTTTCAGAAAACTAGACCTCTGACCACTAACCTTGAGGTCGAGGTCAGTAAGATTTAAACTTGTCCAAGACTTTTAGTAGATACACCTTTGGTATCAATCTGAAATTCCTACTTCACTTTGTTATCCAGTCAACGCATTCATGAGATTTTCAGAAAATGTGACACCGTAGTCACTGAGATTTTTAGTAGATACACCTATGGCATCTACCTATGGTGTTAATTTGAGACTGTTTCAAATTGACGCCTATTGATAAAATCGCTTCATTTTTGAGTTTTTACATTCACCAACATGGGTGTCCATGTCCAGCAGGGTGACAGCAATACTCCATCAGCCTTTTATGACGGAGGGGTAAAATGTTTTGAGCCCTGAACAAAAAAAAAATGTTTTAGCCTCAATGCATGGGTTCCCCTTCATAGCAGCTACACGGTGGTTTTTTTTCCATCTCCATCTGTATAGTAAAAATTTCCAACATGTTTGCACTTTTGGTACCTTGAGCATTTTAATAAAATTGTATAACAACTAGTTCAAAACCTCTGCACACCTGAAGGGACGACGAGCAGCAAACTTCCACAAAAACAACTAAACTTAACCCTTCACACTGTTTCAATTACAGATGAACTTGTATTTTATTGTGTTAATGGAATTACCTGAGAAATGAGCCTATCCAAAATAGACTTGGTTTGTGCTTCAGTTTTTAATGAGTGAAATTCTGGTATTTAATTACTTAACAAACATGTGCTTATTCATGCTAACAGTTTGAACCAAGCTTGCTAGTGTTAGCTAATAACTTAGCCCACTATGCTATCATCCAGTCAATGTGATTGTTGGCTTTAAAAGAAAGAAAGAAAGAAAAAGAAATTAGTTTTTTTTTAAAACATGGCAGTTGACAAAACTAATATTTTGGCTTGGACATGCAGAGCCTACAAGTCAATAGTCAAAATCCCTGTGTGACCATCTAACATTTACAGTCTTTGAGTCCATGGCCTTCCCATGCACCTGCGTTGAACATTCGTGAAAAGTTCAGGGCTACAGGAATGCATGAAAACTGCTTACTGCACATTTTCCTAGCTGCAAAATAAGCATCTGTGCAGCCTTAAAAATAATTAACCAATGTCACCCAAAAAGTTACTCGGTAAACCACGTGTATTCATTTCATTTTAATAAATAAATAAATAATCTGAAGTCACGCTACTAGTTTAGCATAGATAGCTAACATGTGCCTGAGCACACTTACTGGATCACCCCTTTAAAAAATGTAAATAAAATAAAATGTAATAAAATAAAATCACCGGCAACACGTTTAATCGAATAAACATTTACCTGCAAGAATAAAAGAGCCCACGCAAGAGATGAAGCCCGAGAGAAAGCTAATGAATGGAAAGGTGCCGACGAGGAGACAGTAGAGCAGGGGTCGGCAACCTTTCTGATGACGAGTGCCATCTAAAATTTCCTCAGAAGTCAGTGTGCCATATGAGTGCATTAGCAATAAATTTAATAATGCTCTATATTAACATTTACACACTATATAGAACCACTTTATACAATTATATTTGTTCGCAGATGTTGGCAGCTATCAGCGAATAGTTATCAGCTATTTTGAAACAAAAAAAAAAGACTTTTTATCCATAACAGCAAATGGACTGTACAACAGAAAATACAAATGTTATTTATGGTCTCCTCACAACAATGATAAGAAAAATAAACTGGGTCAATATGGCATGTTTGTTAATACAGGGATACACATGTTAATCTGATATCTGGTCTCCAGCTTTCAGACAGTTACCTGAGGACACTCTTCGTGTGAGAGAAAATCTGCTCACACAGATATGTAGAGTCAAATACTGTCAATAAGGCCTCTGTAATGTTCTGAAGACAGTTAAACTTGTCAGGTAGTGATGTCCAGGTGAAAATGCAGCTCCATGAACTGTGGGTTCCAGCTGCGTTCATAGTTCTGCAAACTTTGACCCCCACAGAGCTGAGGTATTTATTTCAATCAGTTGCATTTGGATGTCACATTAACTGGCATTACGTTAGCCAGTAAATGCGAGACAAATCTAGCTGCTCATTAAAGCTTTCTGGTTTGATCAGAAAATAAAACATTGGTCTAAACGCCTGAAAGTCCCAAACATGCATTGTGTCTCAAGTCTACGGATGCATCCGTGTATCTCCGTGCTGATGCTGTGCTGAGCGAACAGCTCCTGAAGCTTTTGAAGTGTCAGAATGTGGAAAGCCAACAACGTCCCTCTCACCAGTAGGCGAAGTTATTTTTAGCCAATTACAAGTTGAATCTGGTAGTTGGGGTTGTTAGCTAAGATACCGTCATTAAGAAGCGGCACAACTAATGTGTCTATGCGAGTTGATTTGTGATGTGCACCGCTGGCGCGGCCATTTATTTTTTTTGATGCACCTTCTCAGATTAATTCACTGCGTGTCGTGCACAGGGCTGGACTGGGACAAAAAAACATCCTCTGGCATTTTGACTACAGACCGGCCCACCAGGTATTACAGCCATAAAGCCTTTGAATGAAAACAAACGCTGTTGTGACAGTGATGTACAGTCTTGTTGGTATATGCATGATTTCTATACATTTTACGTCAGATAAAAACTTTGGTTGTAAGATTCAGATAATTATTTAACAAAAGCGAGACATTTTAAATGAGAATAAGAAAGAAAAGTATTTCTTTGTGCCCCACCTTTCCCTGTTAATGCCCTACCTGCCCCCCTGGCAAAACTTTGCTAGATCCGCCCCTGCACAGTTACCAGCTGTCAGCTACATAAAAAAGGATCCTGGTGTTATTAGTCTCTCAGAAACAGTTCATAACTTCCCTTCAACTCATCCATGTCACCTAAAAGGTAAACCTGTTTCTCCATCACCTGTTCAGCTCTGATGGTTCAGTAAGGACATCTCCTTGTCACGGACCCGGTTCCGGGGACTCGGGGTTCGTGAACAGTGTGGACCTTTATTGTTATTTGTGTATTGGATGTATGTTTGCTGCACTGTGCTCTTGTGTTCCATGCTGGTGTGTGTGTGTGTGTGTGCGTGTGTGGGTGGGTGTGGCTGGAGGACGAAGGACAGCCACCTGCAGGCCTGATGGGTGTGGCCCTGCCAGCTGCTGGTCACGCCTAGCTTCCCACACACCTGCTTCTGATCAGGATCGTCGGGGGAGCTACTTAACAGAGCGATGGAGCTTCCTCCGGCGCAGGATCGTTGAGTTAGACTCCACGTCAGTGTCTCTAGTGTTGTTAAGCGTA